AAAGGGGCCTGTGGAGCTATAATGATGAGGAATTCAGACACAAGCATTGCAGTTTCGCTTTATATAGACCACAAATGTATGATTTATATGTAAAAAGGAATGATTTAAAAGCATACCCTTTTGAAGCTTTCAGTTGCCAGCGACATCCATGTGAACTCCATCAATCATTGTCCTGACGCCACGTGTCATTTCCTGCGGTCTGAAATCTGTCAGTGTCCAGTTCTTCGTCATGATCACCAGTTGCCGAAACACATGGAGTGGAATCTAGTGTTTCTGAAGCAGCATAAAGGGGCGTTTTTTTAATGCCATATAAGGCCTGATTGTTACCAAACTCCTGTTTAACTATTCATTGAGGACACAGGTGCCAAGTGTTGGTGTGTATGTCTCTCAGACCAAAGGAAGACAAGCCAATACCGGAGATAAGAGAACACGTATCCCTGACCAACGACTGCGGGGTGAGCCACCGACAGGATCAGCCATCACACCCCATCGAGGTAATTCTTTTAAACGTGTTGGTTTCGGATTGGTCGCGTATGAAATTTCGAGATCGAATGCTTGATTTACTTTCAAACGTGTTATTATGAAAAGTCCCCCAAATGGATGAAGAAAAGACTGTTGTGTGCTGGAATGTGAGATGCGTCTGAAACAGAACTGACTAGCAACTGTTTTACACCAACAGAAGCACAACACGACCGACTAGGGTTGCTTTTGACAAGAACAAGAGGAACTTATGTGACACGCTCACACGCAGTTAAGTGACCAAATCAGGCTCATGTCTTGGGGGTTTGTGCTTTTCACTCGGTGAATCTCTGATTTACTACTTGAGTTGATTCCTCAATCATGGACCTTCCTCCTCAGATGTCTCGACTGGACATCGATGTGGATTTGGGCTTTGCTCTCTTCTTCTTGGCCCTGCTGTGTTTGTTTCTGCTGGTTACAATGGTGCGTTGTGCTCAGATGGTTCTGGATCCGTACAGCTCCATTTCTGCGTCAACCTATCAGGAAGAGATGGAAGAGGAGGGATGAAGAATCAATGGATGCATTAAACTTGTGATGGAGGACAATTGGATTATAGCCAAAGACCATCTAAACTTTCTCTAACCTCTTAGATTTCTCTTGGAGCTCAGCCTGGAAAAGGGATCCGAGTTGCGTCCTGCCAATCATTAAGCACAACTAAATAAATAAAACTGATGTGATTGGCTGACAGGGGAAACATGCAGTGGCTCACGAATATTATTTGTTTTTGGTTCAGTGAGTCTTAACTGAAAGAACTGTAGTGCCGTGAAACTCAAGACCACATGGATGGATCTTATTACACTTTTCCAGGTGATCACATGGCAATAATGAAACTGTGAGCTTTCCTCACATAATTAAATTTGAAACATTTGAAATGCTTAGAGTGAATGGGAGTTAATTAGTTAATGTGCATCTAGTGCATGATTTTATTTATGCATGTTGAATAGCAGCTAAATAATAAAAATGTTTTTATAAAAAAAAGAAAGATGTTATTTAGTATTTTTAAGGTGAGGTATTACAATGAATAGTCTTTTAATTAAACTACCATATTATGATGCAAATATGAAATATGATCAATTTGAAAAAAAGGAAGGGAAAGGAAAAAAATCCATATATACACCGCATATAGTTAATCATTTACACATATTTAAAAGGACAATATGTAAGATTTTTGGATTTGTTATATTTTGTTGATTTGTATCCCAAATGTTTCCAACAATGTTTAAATCCAGAGAAATAACCACTTTATTTTAACCAGTGTCATTGTGACACCTGGAAACACTAAAGATGCTTTTTATTATGTTTTTTTTTTTAAATATATTATGTTTTTATTAGGTGAGCAACTGTTTGGGATACCTTTATTGACATAAAACTAATCATAGCTATATAGCTCAACTCTGTTTTGTCTTATTGTTTGACCATCTTGTTTTCTTTATTTACTGCGAGTAACTTGTTTGTACCCAAAAACTATATCAGACAACACTATATTGTAACTTACATATCATAATCAGAGTGAGCTTTATTTGTATTAACAGTAAAACGGCATTTTCTCCACCATACAATGGTTTAAAATTAATTGCATGCTATATAGCAACAGAAGTCGTCTAGCTATTATTAATAATTATTGGTTGACCGATGTTGGATTCTGGATGGCCGCTGGGCGATATCTTCGAGAGCAGGGTGGCCGACATAAAGCAGATATGTGTGTATGTATTTACAGTTGTGCTCAGAATTAATGGCACCCCTGGTAAATATGACCAAAAATGACTGTAGAAAATAAATCTGCATTGTTTTTCCTTTTGATCTTTCTTTAGATCTCTTAAATTCGCAAAAATCTTAAAAGTCAAAATTAACGTGTTTACACATGCAGTTAATTTCAGTTTAACACTTTAAAAACATTTAACGCAATCAATGCAGTATCCATTTTTTTCTGTCATTCTTTGGCATTATAATATCATGCTCTTATTCAAGCAAATCAATAAAATTAACTCTTAAATGCATGTAAAGATTTGTGAGAAAATAGGATGTGTGTCAGATCCACGTCATGTGCGTCAGGTCTTAAAGTGACAGCAGCCTAATTAAACCCGCTGCTGTAATGTGTCATTAATACAGATGGGCGATATATTATCGTTGGCGATATACCGGTAAAAATCTTCCTCACGATAAGAATTAGTCTTCCCACCATTATAACAATAAAGCCTATGATGGGACCCATTCACAGCTCACGCGCATGGCGGAAGGCTGAGGTGAAGTTTATCGCTAAACCAGTTACTACCTCTACAATCTGGTACACACAGATATATTTTCATCTGGCCATCTCGCCGAACAATGTGCTTTCGCTCTCCGTCAAGTGATCCGTAAAGCCCACTATATCAGTTTCATCTCAATGAATGCACAGTGTGTTTGACGCGCAGTAAACACTAGTGAGCCGCATGACTGGCTGTCACTTTGCTGAGAGCGCTCAGTGTTTCTCACACACTCGTTGAGAGAGAGTCTTACATACCACGCAGAATTGAAGTGTACATGACGTCTACATGTAAATTATATTATTTGTTGTATTTTCCTGTAAAAATAATGGAGTTCATTTGAAATTATTCAGCTTTTATGAGCAAGCAGAAACTAATGTGCAAACGCAGACGTGATTAATATTCATGAACCCGGCAGCTCATCAATCCTTAGTGTGGTATTGTTATTAGTATCAGAATTCGTAGTAGTATTAGTATAATTATTCGTTGTTCGTTTTTTTACATTTCAAACTTATAAATGATTTGAATTATTACTGTGTGATGTTTTTCAGTAGAGTTGCACTATTTAAACGTTATCTGCACTTTTACAGAAGAAACGTATAAATGCAACTTTTCCATTTCTGCAAGGGATGGTGTTTGGACTTTTACTGTTTTTTTATTATTATATGTACGGTAATTGGTATTTTATAGGAGCCTATTTGATGAAGGGTACATTTTACTTTGCATACAACTATCACTTGTAGCCAAAAACAGTGGTGAATATGGTATTATATTTTTATATCGTCATTGATATCATTATTGCAATAAATGCCAGAAAATATTGCGATATATTTAAGTCTTTATCGCCTATCTCAAGTCATTATGATAACTAAAGAACAAAAGACAGAAAATCACTCACTGCTTCTAGCACGTCAAATGCACGCTGTAACATTGTTATTTAAACGATATGGTCTTATGTATGTGCGTTGATCAGTGTTAAGGTTTCTAAATCACACGTGGTCCCCAGATAATACTAATCCAGTGGCACCTCATGGACAACAGAGGGCACTCCCAGTGCTAAGGAGCACACTGGCAGAGCGTCCTCTTCAAAGTGAAAGTTGTCGTGCTCTGCCATCCACGTTGGCTGCCATATTAACAATGGCAAAGCCAGAAATAGCATCTTTGTTGAGACGCTGGATGTTCAGTTAAAGCAACACTAAGTATGATTTTTTACCTTTAAATAATGTTTCCAAAATCGTTTCAGTGGTTCAAGTCGTAACAGGGTGAAAGGCAATTTTGGACTTGCTTTGCAGTCCTATATCTGCTATAACCACTCTATGTAAGATTACCAGATCGGGTCGCGTTTCTGTAGTTCTAATGAGACATGAGAAAACTACAAATTTGACTCGCTTTACGTCAAGTGTTATAAAAGTCAATATTATGTTTTTCTTCGTTTCTGAGTCGCAATACATCATACTTTCATGAAATCATGCAACTCTACCTTGGGTGCTTCTCAATATCCCTCCTCGTCTCCTCGCTCCTCTGTCCTCCCTCCTATGACCCGGAAACCGATCGAGCTCAGCCATCTTGAAGGACATCTCAATTCTCGAATTGCACCGTGAGGAGTCGAGGATAGAGGAGTGAGGAGACTTCCTGAGGAGTCATAAGCGAGGATACACAGGTGCATCCTACGCGGAACTGTTATATTGACTAAACGTGACGCACGTGTCAATTCTCCTCCCCCTTCACATCGGTCACAATCATTTTATCGGTCACAATCATTTTAATTTATACTTTACCTTTGCAGTTTATATAAACCACACATCTCATATATTTCAACAGTATAGCCCATCTTTATTATTATTTATTATGAATTTATTAAATAACCAAACTTGAACAACATAAGGGCAGATCCTTTTAGCGCTGCTGATGACACTGTGGAGTGACGCTCGAGTGATCAAGTATTCCAATGTATATAAAAAAGCTTTTATTCGATTCCTCTGTCCTCCTTTCCTTTCCTCGCTTCCTTCCCTCACGTCCTACAGGGGGTGGAGCTGAGACGCAAGGAAAGGAAGCAAGGAAAGGAAACGAGGATGCACAAATAAGAAATGAGAAGCACCCCTAGTCTGTGGACATCGTTCATTCCAAAGCCGATTGCTGCATAAAAAGCGAGTGTGTGTGACAGTGGACTGCGGTAGGCTAAATTATTTACAACAGGGGTAGTGAACAATTCCGCTTCCAACCTGTAGGGTGACCGTAGAGGAAAAGTTACTTGGTGTTGCTTTTAATGATGACAACTACATTGTTTTGTTTAGAATGCTGTGTTAAGTGAGATTAACTCGTTTTCAGCAAACTTCTGAATTGTATGAACGGGATTTGTAGTTCGACTGGTCGACACTGTTTTCCAAAGATAGCTCCTGCCTGTATACGTGAAGTGGACTGTCTACCAAAATGTCCTATCCTAAATACCAAATGTCCAATCCTAAATAC